TACTGAACATGGTAACTCCATTAAAGGAGTCGACTCCCTCAAATTCGATGCCATTATGGCAAATCTGACCGAGCTAAATTTCTTTTTAACTTATACTATTATTTTAAATTTTTACTTGGTTGATTTCATATTAACCGCCTCTTCTGTTGACTAGATATAGTCCATGCTGAGAGTGAATGGTCTTAAAAAACCCTTCAACGACAAGAAAAAAGAGGTAAGGGCTTCCAACCTAAGGGCCGCTTCCACTCTTGAAAAAGCCATGTATGATATAAATAAGACTGAGTTGCTGACTCAAGATATCCTGTACTCACAGGCAGCTGCAAATTTGCAAGTCAAAAAAGATTTGGAGGCAGCCCAAAAGAAGGTGACTAAGCTCAAGGCGGAGTTGAAGACGGCCAAGACTGAGTTGGAGAAGACACAAGATGTTGGCAGGGAGATAGAGAGTCTCAAGCGCCAAAATGAGAATTTGCAAAATAAGATTTCCAATCAGGAGAAGCAGCTCACGTCCAAGTGGACCGCCCGGGTTAAAGAAGAGAAGAAGTTTCTCATATAGGAGAACGAGGTCGATTGAGTCACTCGTATGAAGATTGTGTGGAAGTCTCTTTTACCTAAAAACAATTACGTCGTCTGGGAGTATCGTCATGAGCAAGCTAATGATGAGCTGGATGCGCAGGCGGACCAAGAGGAGGAGGGTGGGGCGGATGTCCAGGATGAGGACGAGGACAAGGAGCACAACGAGCATCATCTGACCAACGAGGAAGCGGCCGATGAAAATGAAACTGAGTCCTCTTCTTAAACTGATTAATTTAAGTTTTTTCTACGGTCGGATGGCCATTTCAAATACATTTCCGGCCTGAGTGCAGTGTATCTTTGTTTTATTTTAATTTATACTCAATGCATCCATTCCACCCCAAATGTTTTTTAAACAAGCGGGTCGCCTACTCCCAAGCGGAGTAGTTATTATCCAATTATACTCCCATCCGTCCATCCCATTGGGAATACTTGTATAGGTTAATAATTTTAACCCGTAATCTAAGTAAGGGCATTATGAAAATTTTAGATGTGTTATTAGACACAGCCTCGGTCAATGTCCTCTTATATTCCCTTTAGATTACTTTTATCAGATGGCTATTTGTTGACCAATTTAATTGTTCAATCTTTGCCGTCTGTGTGTGGTTGTAGAGCACTTTATCACCTAGATGGGAGTTACTCTCTGCGACGATTCCACCCGGATGGGTGTCGCCGGACGCCTTACTCATGTTGGAGAAGACGAATTATAATATGTAATATCATCCCGCCATAGGCCTCATGTTTGTTAGATATTTGTTTAGCCATTGAGTTCATCATTCGGCCAGTGGCCTTATCTCGTTCGATTATTAACAATGTCTGTTTGTATGTTGTACAGGCGGAACTTAGGAAGTTACGCATGTATACCAAGGAATAAACAATAATAGTGAAAGCGAAAAGAACTTTTTCAATGATAAGTTTTTACATTTACAAAAATTTACAAACCCTTAGAATTAGTACTTTAATTTTTCAAGTTGTCTAAATTCCAAGTTCTGGGCAGTCACCTGCCGTCTGGAGTTTCCATGCGGTAGGTGTCGTATAATACCCCGTATTTTCATACGTGTTTTCTAATGAATTAATTAGGAATTATTTTATAAAAAAGGGTATTTTAGTAAAATTATTATTTGGAACCAAAATAATATTTGAATTTTGGCACCAAAAGTATTTTGAAAATTAATCATTATTTTGGATAAGATTTATTATCCATTATCTTATTTTAAAAATCGGATTATTTACATATTTCGGATATTTTAATTTTTTTTTAGGAAACAGGCAGAGAATATTATTAAAGTAAATTAATTTCCGCCAAGGTTAGCAAACTTTGCGGAAAAGGACCAAAACACACAAATTCGTCAGAGTTTCTAGTATCCCACCTAGCAACCAAGTGAGCTAAGGTATTCCCTGCCCGATTTACATGAGAAACAGTAATATAATAAAAAACGAAGAGCTAGCAATAATATCATCAATCAAAAGGAAAAAGGGGAAAACCCGAAGATTTCTGTTTGACTCCCGTGACCACATTCAAAGCATCACTTTCAATCTCCACTCTCAAATAACCCATCCTTCTTGCGATACTCACGCCAAATAGCACAGCATCAGCTTCGGCCTCACCAATAACCCATCCCACCTTGCCTCTTTTTACAGCAGCAGCACACACCATGCCCCTGTCACCTCTCACTACCACACCCAACTGAACTTCACTTCTCACCATGGCATCACAATTTATCTTCATAATACCAGGATCAGGGCAGCGCCAAGAATTGTTCGCTGAAGGAGAAACACGAGCCACCTGAGAACAGACCTTCACAGAGTATGCATTATAGTCTTGGACCATTTTAGCCATCCCAATATCCACCAAGGTAGGAGTGAAAGGCTCATCATAGAAAGTAGCTTTATTCCTACAATGCAAATCTGCCCAGCAGAGGGATTCGATAACAGAGAGCTCCTCCTTTGTAGCTCTGTCACATAGCCACAAGAATCTGGTTGTAAAACTCTCACTAGGGGCTTGGTCGATTAGACCCTTAAACGATCTAGAAGCCCATATTTCCTTAGCTGCCGAGCACTCTAAAATCGCGATGATAACCGACTCATCCTCACAGCCACAAATTGCACATGTTTTTATCATCAATTACATGGCGATAAACAAGCCTTTCTCGAACCGCAAGAAAACCTTTACAAGCTCTCCATAAAAAGTGTCGAGCTTAGGCAGAGCATTCAAATTCCAGATTATCTTCCACACCTTATCCCAAGTATCGATAGTGTCAAAATTTCCCCCATTTTTACATAGCCAATACCTCGATCGCACACTGTACTCTCCATTTTTATTCGGCCACCAACACATAGAGTCAATCGGGTTTATAATTGACAGGGGAATAGACATAAAAAGAGCACATTCTTCAGCAATAAACGTGTTATTCACAGCTTCGACATCCCAACAGTTACTAGAGTGGTCAATCAGATCAATTACGCAAAGGTACATATCACTATCAATTGATGGAGTTGGAACTAAAGAGGATGTATTAACTGGTAACCAAGCATCACACCAAACGTTAATTACGCTACCATTTCCAACCCTCCATTTAAGACCATCGAGCAACAAAGATTTGGCTCACCACATACTACTCCAAGCATAGCTAGGGTCATACCCTACATTTGCTGTCAAAACATCCCCACTCTTAAAATACTTCGCCTTAAGCACCGAGTGTAACAAGGAGCCCGTATTGATGAAGCCTCCAAAATTGCTTTGCATGTAATGCTTTATTAAAACATCGAAGGTCACGAAACCCCAAGCCCCCATTTCCTTTTGGTTGACAAAGAAGGTCCCACCGTTGCCAGTGCATCTTTCTACTAGTATCATTCGATCCCCACCAGAATTTAGCTAGAAGAGAGTGAAAAGCATCGATCAAAGTGTCAGGAATTTTGAAAATACTCATCATATAATTTAGGATTTCTTGGGCCACAGCTTTGATAAGTATTTCTTTCCCCGATCTTGAGAGCAATTTCTCCTTCCACCCTTGTACCTTCTTTCATAATCTTTCCTTAAGCCCTGCAAAAATTACCTTTTTTGATCTTCCGATAATTGTAAGAAGGCCTAGATATTTTTCATGTCGCTCAACCTCCTGTACTCCTAAAATATCAATAATTTCCCCCCTTCGAACAGTACTAACGTTTTTGCTAAAGGTGACCTCGGTCTTGCTTAGATTGACTTTCTGACCCGATTCCCTCTCATACTTGCTGATAATGTCAGTTATAACGGAGCATACTTGCACATTGGCTCTAGAAAAAAGAATACTGTCGTCGGCAAAAAATTAATGTGAGACTCGAGGACCCCCCTACAAATCCTCGCACCATGAATGAGCTTATCAGAAGCGGCCTTATTCAATAATCCCAAGAAGGCATCAGCGCAGAGTAAAAACAAATACGGGGAAATAGGGTCGCCTTGACTCAACCCTCTAGATGGAGTAACAGAACCCGAAATGTGTCCATTAATCTTAAAAGAAAAATTGACACTCTCAAGGCAGTCCATGATTATATTAATCCAAGCCCCGGAGAACCCCATATTTTCCATCACCTTCACAAGGAACACCCATTATACCCGATCATATGCCTTACTCATGTCAAGTTTCATCGCAATATTTCCTTCCTTCCCTTCCCCTCCTCTCTTCATGGCATGAAAAACCTCAAAAGCAACAATTGCATTATCAGTAATGAGGCGTTTAGGAGCAAAAACACTCTGATTTTGGGAGATCACATCACGTAAAAACCCCTTTAATTTGTTGGCCAAAGTCTTCGAAATAATTTTGTAAATGACATTGCAACAACTAATAGGCCTAAATTCAGAGATTAATTTAGAATCCTCCACTTTCGGAATAAGTACAACACAAGTGTTATTTATTTCCTTTAAACCCGCCTCACCCCTCCACCACTTTTTCACAAAACTAATAATATCATTCCCAATAATATGCCAAAATTTCTGAAAAAATAAAGCATGCATACCATCGGGGCCGGAAGCTTTATTTGGATGCATCTGGAACAGGGCTTCTTTAGTTTCTTTACCTGTAGGCTCGACATCAAGCATTGCATTCATCTCATTAGATACAACCTCCTCTATGCCTTCCAACGCACCTTGAAACCCTGTCGGCGAGCTTGTTGCAAAGAGATCATTAAAGTAAGCCTCAATAAGACACTCCAAATCAACACGTTGGTGAAGTACAACACCATTTGAGTCCATTAAACCAGAGATACGATTTTTTGCTCTTCGTTGGCTAGCTTTATGGTGAAAATATTTTGTGTTTTTATCACCGTCTCTAAGCTCATTTGCACGGGCTCTAGCAAACCAAAAAGATTCTTCCGGCAAATAGAGAGAGTTAAGATCCTCGGATAAGTTTTTACACAAGTCCAAAGTCGGACCATCCATTGCACCTTCCTTCAACTCACGCAGCTTTTGTTTGGCCTTTTTTATTTTTTTTCTTGATCGAGTTAAAAGTCTTCCCCGCCCATGAACTCAAATCCTCACCACATCGAGCAAATTTTTGATTTATGTCCACAGCAAGACTCTTATGCCAACTTCTATCAACAATCTCCCCACATTCTTCCCGAGAAAGCCAAAGAGGCTCAAACCGAAAACTCTTACCCTGTGCAACGGGATCATCTCTCTTCTTAACAGTCAACATAATTGGAGTATGATCAGAGCTGTAAATAGGGAAATTTCGAGCTTCATAATCTAGAAATAAAGACACCCATCCATCATCAGCAAGGAACCTATCCAACCGTTCACGCACATAAGTCGACATAGAATTCCCTCTTTCCCAAGTGTATATGCTACCTTTAAATCCCAGGTCACGAAAGCAACATGTATCGATAGCATCTCTAAATGCATCCATGAGCCTCTCACTTCTAGGAACACCACCATCCTTTTCACTCAAGCTAGTTATTTCATTAAAATCACCAAACATAACACATGGCAAATTGCTTTTTGACTTTAAAGAGGCCATCAACGACCAAGTATTATGTTTTTGCGCTTGTTCCGGCCACCCATAAATGCCAATAGCTCTCCAAATAGGGAGTTATTACCATCCAGTACATCAACCTCAAAGTGATGATCAGAGTAAGAGACCACATTTTCATTTATATCTTTCCACCAAAAACCCATGCCACCCGAATTACCAACACTACTAACACATAAACCATAAGAAAAGCCACATCTATTTTTTATTTTATTTAAAATAGTACTATCAATCATTGACTCCATTACAAAAACAAAATTTGGCCTTTCCGTCTAACATTTATCTTGGAGGGCACGAACTCGCCTCGCGTTGCCAAGCCCGTGGCAGTTCCAGCTTATTATTTTCATTGCTTTTCGAGGGCTTGGACATTCCCAAGACCCTCTACTTCATTAAAAGGAATAACAGAAGAGTTATCACTAGCACACATTTTTAACTTTTTTTCAGAGAAATTAACAGTAGCATTATAATCGTTACCAATGACAACTTCCACATTTCTTTTCTTTGAGACAGTGAGATTCCCACAGCTTTTGGATGTGTCCATACAAGCAACACCCTCCCTTCTCCCTTTTTTATGCATCTTCTTGGAGCAAGTAGGCGCATAAGTTTTTTCATTGAGTGGCATCCCCCTAGCAGCTTCACCCTCCTTCATAATCTCGTCACCATCACGCATATCAAAGGCATCCCCTGCCGCACCCATAAAGTTTTCACCAACTATACTCTTCTCCTCAACCAAAGCTTTTGGTCTTAGCACCATTTTACCACTCCCATTATCCGCAACAACAATCAAAGCCGCAGAACGCGACTTAGGAGTAACCTCATTGAGTTCACCAGGAGTAGAGAAAAGAAGATTTCTTGCTGCCCTCGGAGGTCCCAGCCTAATTACCGAAGGATCATTATAATCAGCCCTCGGAATTTTCTCTTCGACATCAGATTTTCAGCCCATTTTCTCTCTTTTTCACGGTCCATGGAAGAGACTTTTGGACGGTGTGGTGAAGTAGTCAGATACGGACCATATTGAAACACCAACGTCGATTCATCATCACACTTCTCCTTTTCTACACAATCCTTATCAATATGCCCCATCAAGCCACAGTAATAGCAAAAATCCCCAAGTCTTTCATACTTGTAGCCTATCCACTTGGTAGCCCCCGACTCCACAACAACCTTCAAACCCCGCCGAAGAGGTTTGGTGATATTCACCAACACCTTCATCCTCATGTACTCCTCCCACCCAAGTGGGTCAGACTCATCCACCTCCAAACATTAACCAATACAGTCACCCACCTCCCTAGCAAATCGAGAGGTTCGTTTCCCAAAAGGTACATCATGAAGACAAATCCAGAAAGGGTAAGTATCGAAGCAGACATCAGAAGGCTGTTCATCAGCACAGATCTCCTTCAATAAGAGGGTTTGGTTATCAAATCCCCACGGTCTCCCATCCATGACCTTTTCCCTATCCTCTATTTTGAAAAACTGAAAGATAAAGAGGTTCGTGTCAACAGAATGAATAACAACATTGTCATCAATACGCCATAGGTTTTTCAAAACACACTTCATTGCTTCGGCATTAAAGGTTTTCTTGGTGAGGAGTTTCCCCACAAAGCACAGGGCAATACGATTATCAGACTCCTCTGCATCCACCATAGAATTCGACCCCTCAAGAACAAGGTTTTCTTCATCAGTCAACTTTAGATTGTCCCAATCTTTCAACAATTGGTCCTCCATCGCAGAATCAGGTTCGAGATTATTGTTTTGTAATTGAATTGTAATTAATTTGGGGAAGATAAATGGAATTACGCAGGAAATTGAGGTAGAAATTGGAAAAAACGAACCCTAGTCGAGAGAAAACTTTTTCACCCTACGCGAGGGACTTACTGAATATTCGGATATTTTAATTAAAGAAAAATAATATTATATTAATTATTTAAGATGGCCGAAAATTCCCAATAATTAGCTAGGGATTTCGGATTTTCCATGTATGGAAAATATGACTTTTTTGGTTATATATTGGTGAATAATTGGTATTTAATTAATCAATTATTTATTCTATATTATTTATAATATTATTTTATTCCTTAATACCAAGCAAAAATCTTCCTAAATAATCTTAGAGAAATCCAAAAATTTGAGCTATGGGAAGCTCAAGATTTTCGGCCCTTTCTAATTAATTTGGGGGAAATTTATTTTGGTAAATCTCCCAAAATCTCTTACTTTCCTTAATTCTATTTTTCCATCTTTTTAATATTTGATCATCATATTTTCTTGCCTTTTATTCTTCTTAATTATTCCCTAAGTAATTCCAATTTCCTTATTATTTTTCATGACAAACATACATTTCATATTTAAATATACACAATCACCTTAATATCAAAACCTTCCTTGATTCTTTTACTCACTTCTCCGAGTAATCCCTTAAACCCTACTTACCATAATTCTTCTTACATTTTTCTACCATAATTCATGCTTACACTAGCCTATAAATACCCCTTCAATTCATGATCAAACCTTCACTCAAATTCTCATAATTCTCTCTTATTTCTCTCTCTCAAATCCTTTTTATTTTCTTTACACCTCCTTACGCACCACCACCTCCACCGTGCACCACCTCCTCTCCGGTCGCCACTGCCGCTGCCCTCCACCTTCCGGCACCACCTACTGCCATCGACCACCCTTGTAGCCACCTCCTCCCTTCTCTTCTCCTTGGTTCTTATTTTTTCTTCTTCTTTTCTATTATTCAATTAATTATAATTATTATGGGGAATTTTTAAAAAATTTATTATGAGTAGTTTTAATTATATAAAATCATATTTTTAATGGTGGTTATGATAAATTAATTCAAAAGGTTCATGTACATATAATGGGGAGGTTTTTAGTTTAATTATTTGTGATTATTTGTTAACCTTCTATTAACTAAGGTTATAATTATTATTATTATTATTATTATTATTATTATTATTATTATTATTATTATTATTATTATTATTATTATTATTATTATTATTATTATTATTATTATTATTATTATTATTATTATTATTATTATTATTATTATTATTATTATATATATATATATATATATAGGGTGTGTTCGATCAAGAATCTTGAGGTTCCTTTTGTGTGATTTTGCGAAGCGAGGAACAAGGTACATTAGGTGGTTAGATACCTTGAAAGAGATTGGTTTGAATGAGCATGTTTGAATGATTTCTTATGATGATTGAATTAAATTGAATTGAATTATGATTTATGAAATAAAAGTATATTTAAATAAACTAGTTTTAATAAATAATTGGAGTATTGATTTTATATTATGTTTTAAATAAATTAATTATTATTCATGTTTAAAAAGGTTTATTATTGAAAAATAGTGGAATTTAATAAAATGGAGTTTGAATTATTATTATGAAAAGTTGGAAGTATTGGATTTAAAGAGGATTTATTGAATTATTATTATTATTAGGAAAATTTCACAAGAATAATCCAACCTTTTCCTCGTTCTCCCAAAATAACCCAAACTTTTGATTAACCCTGAATAATCCTAAATTTACTACTTATTTTCTCCTAACAACCCTAGCAGGTCACCCAACCCTTTATTACCGGTTACCATCCACGTGACACTTCCTTATTTGCCAATTTTTATTTTTTATTTTTTAAAAAAAAAATTGAAAACTGAAAAAAAAAAACTTGAGATTTTTATCTCCTTCCCCTTCCTGCTGGTATCTCTCGCTCTCCTTTCCCAACCTCCATTATCACCCACCAACACCACTCAACACACCATCCTTGACCACTACCAACACCTACCACAACCTTAAACAATCACCACTCAATATAACAACCACGACCAACCCACAACTAACACAACCGCAAACAAACCCACAACCTCAACGACTTACAACCACGGACAACCCTTGACAGCGCGCCGCAATCAACACCAACCAATAATAACCCCTGCTTATTCCAGCCCATAATTGAAGACACATGCCCAATTTATCCCCAAATTCAATTGAAAGAGAGAGAAGAAAAGAAATATTAAGGTTTGAAGGGGAGGTGCATGTAGTAAGAGGAGATTGATAAGGGAGGGGAAGGGGTGACGAGAAGGTTCAGGGAGGTGAGGTTGGGATTTCGGGCTGGGTAGATGGGGTTGGGGTTTCGGGGTATGGGTGGGGCTGGTGGTTTCAGCTAGGTGGGGTTGGTGGTTTTGAGTCTGGGTAGGAGTGGGGAAAGGGTTTTAGGTCTGGGTTTGGGTGGGGTATGTGGAGGTGGAGATCATGGTGGCGCAGGTCGTGGTGGATGAAGTTCAGGTGGTGGCTAAACCTATAATGGAGTTGAAGAAGAGAGAAGGAAGAAAGAGGGAAAAAAAACAATTTACTTGAAGTTCAGGTACCCAGTCAAATAGGCTTGGTGTAAGAGAATAACTAGTAAACTTAGGATTATTCTAGGTTAATCAAAAGGTTGGATTATTTTGGGAGAACGAGACAAAGGTTGTATTATTCTTGTGAAATTTTCCTTATTATTAAAGCTTTATAAGCATGTTAGTAATCCCACTATGCGGATTTGGTTTATTTGATAAGACTTTTGACTTTGTATGATCGAGTCTTTTTTCACGAATAGCCTTGTCACATAAGGAGACTAGCTTGGGGTGTGCACACTTGGGAAAGGAATTAGTTTTAAAGTAATTGAAATTGGATTTATTGAATATTGGTTATTGAAATTGTTTTGGAATTTTGAGTTGGTATTATTGATTTAATTATTGGAATGGATGAAATTGATTTCAAAAACATGTTTATGAATAAATTGAGTTTAATTATCTCACACTTATCGTACTTAGCATACGTTGCTAATCCGTATTTCTTATTTTGTTTTGGTTCTCCCTATTTACCTTAATGGTAAGCAATGTTGGCTAATTTCAGGTGAAGTCAATAAATGAGCATTTGGAGTCTCGGGATGGTTCACCTAGATTAGGATATGTTGGTCCTTGTATTTAATTTGAGTACTCATGACAATGATTACTATTTCCAGTCTATTATTAAATAAAGAAGAGTATTGAAGTTTTCCGCTGCAAAGTATTGGTTTAATTAATAAGTTTGAGTAGCCTTGCGTAATCACGCTGCGGTAATATGCCTAAGTCTATCCCTACGGTATAATTATATGTATTATACTAGTATTTCCGTAGAGGGATATTTGGGGGTGTTACATGTCGTCTCTTACTTCTACATATATCCGGTAGGGGCCTTCCCAGTTGGGAGTTAACTTTCCATGCTCGTTGGCCTTACCGGTTGCCTCCATTTTTCGTAACACAAAATCCTCAACTTTCAAGGGCCGTTTGTGTACTTTTTGTTGTAGGCACGGGTCATTCTTAGACGGTAAATCTCATGATGCAAGGCGGCATTGCCCCTGTGTTCCGAGAGCAAGTCCAATGCTAGCCGCATAGCCTCCCAGGTCGCCTCTTCATTGTATAGCATGACTCGTAGAGTCGGATCATAATGCTCGATGGGGAAGACGGCTTCAGCACCGTATACCATGGGAAATGGGATTTACCAGTCGCCCCCTTTTTTTTCAGTTGTCTGGATGGCCCATAGGACATGAATTAATTCTTCATCCCATAAACCATCAACTTTTTCAATTTTCTTTTTGATCTCGTCTGAGATGACTTTGTTGAAGCATTCAACTTGGCCGTTTTCTTAGGGTCTCCCAACCAAGTCTTGAATTGAGGCATCTCAAACTGAGGGCCATTATCGAATACCATAGACATATGTACCCCGTATCGGGTGATGATGTTGTTCCAAATGAAAGAGATGACATCCTTTGTCTTGATGCTCTTAACCACCTCTTCCTCCACCCACTTGGTGAAATAATCCACAGCCACCAGAATATAGCGCTTTTCGCCTAGTGTAGGCGTATAAGGACCTAAAATGTCCATGCCCCATTTAGCAAACGGGAGTGGGATATGGATTACTTTCAGGTCAGTTGACGGCTGATGGATGAGCTTTCCAAATCTTTTGCACTTGTCACACTTTTTGACCATCTCCATGGCGTTTGACTCAAGAGTAGGCTAGAAGTGACCTTGCTGTCTGTTCTTTAAAGCGAGAGATCTGCTGCCTATGTGAGAGGCGCAGTATCATGCGTGTAACTCTTCAAGAACTTCTTTTCCCATTTTCGGGGTAACACACTTCAACAGAGGTTTTAGGAAACCCGCCATGAAGAGCTCTCTGTTTTTCATCTCGAAGTTTGCAGCATGTTTTTTTAATACGACTGCCGCCTAGGGTGAATCAGGATGCATACCGTCTGTCAAATACGCCCAGATGCCATCCATCCATGTAGAGCTTCAGTCAAGTACTCTAATGAATTCTTCATCAGATATATTCCATTTTTCCTTAACTTCCTAAAAGACTGACTGAGGCGTATCACAAGAGGCGGAGGATGCTAATTTTGACACTACATCCGCCTGGTTGTTTTCTGATCGGGGCACTTGACTCAGATGGAATTATTCAAGTGTCCCAACTTTAGTTTTGACCGTCTAAAAGTATTTGATCATTTCCAGATGGGTGGCTTCATATTCACCATGGTATTGGATAACGATCAACTGAGAGTCAGAGTAGGCGTTAGTTTTTGTTGCCCTTGTCGCCTTGCACATGCAGATGCCGGCTTGCAGGGCTTCATATTCTGCCTCGTTGTTTGAGGCCATGAACTTGAACCGTAGTGTGTATTCATATTTATCCCCTTCCGGAGATTGACAAATTATACCTGCACCACTGCCGTTCATAGTAGAGCTCCCGTCTACATACACTTTCCAAACCTGATCAAGATTGCCCGGAGCAACCGGCCTTGTCATTTCAACAATAAAGTCGGCAAACACCTGACCCTTCACTACCTTTCTTGGTTCGTAAGTGATTTCAAGACTTTACATTTCAGTAGCCTATTTGAGCATCCTAGCGGAGGACTCCAACATTGTCATTGGCCTCTTGATAGGTTGGTCTGCGTAGATCACAACTAGATGTGCCAAGAAGTAAGGTTTGAACTTCTTGACAGCCATGTAAAGGGTGAGGCCAAATTTTCAACCATGGGGCATCGTAGTTCAGCAATTCTGACCACATGGCTAATGAAATAGACCGAGAGCTGGATGTCGTCTCTCTCAACAAGGAGGATGGCACTAAGGGCATGATCTGAGACGACTAAGTACATGTAGAGCGTCTCCTTGGGCAAAGTGCTAACAAGCCTTGGCAAAGAGTGTAAATGTGTAATACCCCGTATTTTCATACGTATTTTCTAATTAATTAATTAATAATTATTTTATAAAAAGGGTATTTTAGTAAATTTATTATTTGGAGACAAAATAATATTTGAATTTTGGCGCCAAAAGTATTTTGAAAATTAATCATTTTTTATAAGATATATTATCCATTTATCATATTTTAAAAACCGAATTATTTACATATTTCGGATATTTTAATTAAAGAAAAATAATATTTTATTAAGGAAAAATGGAAAAGAAAAATCCAACCTTTTAACTTTTTCTTTACACAAATCCAACCTTTTGATTATTCCTCAAAAATCCAACCTTTATACCCCTCCTTCTTCAACAGGTCCATTACCTGTTGATGACCCATTTTTGTAAGTCATATTCCACGTGTCAGCTATTAATAGGTTAATTATTTTTGTTTTTTATTTAATTATTAAAAAACAAAAATAATTAAAAGAAAAAGAAAAAAAAATCAGAAAACCAGCCCCACCCTCTCTCTTCCCTGACCACCCCAACCCACCGCCACCGGAACCCAACGCACATCCACCAACACTCACAACCAACCACCAACTCCACCGCCCAGCCACCAACACACACGCCCAGCCACTCCAAACCCAAACCCCGCAACTCCAAAACGCCCAGCCACTCCAAACCCAAACCCCGCAACTCCAAAACACCCAACCACTCCAAATCCAAACCCCGCAACTCCAAAACGCCCAGCCACTCCAAACCCAAACCCCGTAACTCCAAAACACCCAGCCACTCCAAATCCAAACCTCGCAACTCCAAAACGCCCAGCCACTCCAAACCCAAACCCCGCAACTCCAAAACACCCAGCCACTCCAAATCCAAACCCCGTAACTCCAAAACGCCCAGCCACTCCAAACCCAAACCCCGCAACTCCAAAACGCCCAGCCCTACAACCCCAAACGCACAACCCCGCAACTCCAAACGCACAACCACCACCTTCCATCACTCTTAGTGCATTCTCCGACGCGACAACGGGGCATTTCGCGGTTTTCATCTTCCTCAATTGCTCTCCTCATCGCACTATCCAAGTCCACCCCATCCTCTGTTCATCGCTGTCTTCGTTAGTTGTCGTCGAGGGTTGGTAGAAATCGGCAATTTCTGCGGTGTTGAGTGGTGGTGACGGAGGTGGGGTTGGTGGTTGAGGTGAGAGGAGTGAGAAAGAATAGGAGTGAAAAGGGAAAATGCAAAAAATTAAAAAAAAAAAACTTTTTTAACCTGTTTATCAGGTTATAGGTAAAATGGACCTGTTAGAGAAAGAGGGGTATAAAGGTTGGATTTTTGAGGAATAATCAAAAGGTTGGATTTTTGTAAAGAAAAAGTTGAAAGGTTGGATTTTTCTTTTCCATTTTTCCTTTTATTAATTATTTTATTATGGCCGAAATTTTCCAATAATTAGCTAGGATTTTTGGATTTTTCATGTATGTAAAATCTTGTTTTTCTTGATTATTTATTGGTAAATAATTGGTATTAAATAATTATTTATTTATTTATTTATTCTATATTATTTATACAATTATTTTATTCCTTAAAAACCGAGCAAAATATTCCTAAATATATTTATAGGAGTCCAAAAATTTGAGCTATGGTAAGCTCAATATTTTCGGCCCTATTAAATTATTTTGGGGGAATTTAATTGGTAAAATTATATTTTTAATTATCTCCCAAAATCTCTTATTTTCCTTAATTCTAATTCTCCATCTTTTTAATATCTAATCATCATATTTTCTTGCCATCATTCTTCTTAATTAGGAAATTTTGCCAACAACTACCTTTTAAATGATCACTTTTAAGAACAACTACCATTTAAAGTTTTCTTTTAAAAAACTACCACAAAGTCACAAAAACTTTGAGCAGCACTACCACGTTTTATTTTCCGGGAAGAATTTCCGGTTGAGAAAGCCTAGTTTATAAAATTTCAATCAATTGTAGTATAGAAAACAAGATATTTCAATAGTAAAACATAATTATAGGTCAATTATCTTTAATTTTGCATTATAGTTTATTTAATTTCTCAATTAAATCTTAAAATTATGGTTTATGGTCAAAAAATTGAATTTATGGCTTTACAAAATTGGGGGATTTGGGGCAATTGAAGAGTATAATCCAATTTAGGGTTAATGTAGTGCAATATTACCATTTAATTTGGGTTTTTTGAGGGAAATTTTATAAAATATTCCCCAAAAACGGAGATTCTTGCCGGAAACAATAAATGTGGTAGTGCTACACAAACTTTTTGTGTTTTTGTGGTAGTTTTTTCAAAAGAAAATTCTAAATGGTAGTTGTTCTAAAAAGTGGTCATTTAAATGGCAGTTATTCGCAAAATTTCCTCTTAATTATTCCCCAAGTAATTCTAATTTCATTATTATTTTTCATGACATACATACCTTCCATATTCAAGTATACACAATCACCTTAATATCCAAACTTTCCTTAATTCTTTTACTCAGTTCTCCAAATAATCCCTTAAACCCTACTTACCATAAATCTTCCCAAATTCTCTTTCCATAATTCTTGCATGAGCTAGCCTATAAATACCCCTCCATACCTCTCACATTCTTCACACCAATTCTCTACTTTTCTTCTCCTCTTTTTACACAAATCATCCTTTTTATCTTTGAAGCCAATTTTCAGGCACTTCTGGTTAGTTTTTGGGGTATTGACGTTTTACATAAGATTGTTCCTATTAAAAAATCCTTGAGGTTAGGCTAAAGAATCATCCAATACAGAGTTATATTGAAGGATTTATGGCCTCTGCAAATTCTGCCTATTCTTTCCAACGAAAATTCACTTCTCTTTAACCTATTCCTTTATCTTCTTCATGGTTAGTTTTCTAAGATACAAATACCTATTTCAAAGCTATAATTTTATACTAAAGTATTATTTTAAAAGAGTTTTATATTCCATGCACATTAGATTTGAGTTTATGTTGTGATAACCTTATGGTTATGTTATTTGCAGGGTGTATTCGTGATTAAACTTTGAAAGTGCGAAGTGTTGATTGATATTCGGAATCAAGGTTCTTGAGGTTCTTTTTGTGAAATTTTTCTAGCAAGGATCAAGGTATGTTTAGGTGGCTGGATACCTTTGAAAGTGATTGATTTGAATAACATGTTTTATATGATTTTATTGGAGATTGAATTAAATTGATTTGAATTATGTTTGGAGGTATTGATTTTAATATTCAATTTGTTTTAATAAGAGTATTTTGAATGATTGATTTTTAAATCATGTTTTGAATGGTTTGGATTACTATTTAAATGAAGTAATTGATTTTAAAAGGTTTGTTGAATTTATATAAAGGCTTTTCAAGGTAAATTTGCGTAATTGATTTTGAAAAGTTATTAATATGAGATTTTATATTTAAAAGGTTTTGATTTTGAAAGTATGTGGAATTATTAAAAAGGAGTTTGAATGATATTGGAATTTATTGGATATTAAAAGGATTTATTGAACCATTAAATTATTATTATTATTAATGCTTTTTAAGCATGTTGGTAATCCCACTATGTTGATTTGGTTTATTGATAAGGTCTTGGACTTTGTATGATTGGGTCTTTTCTCAAGAATAACCTTGTAACATAAGGAGACTAGCTTGGGGGGTGTGCACACTTGGGTGAGGAATTGGATTAAAATGAATTGGTTCTTAGTAAAGAAATTGGTTTAATAACTATTATTTTGAATATGAATCATTGGAATTGGTTTTGGAATAATGAGTTTTGAATTTATTGGATTAATTATTGGAATTGGTTTTAAAAGCATGTTTGCAAATAAATTGAGTTTACACTTTTTTGCACTTATCGTACTTAGCATAATTTGCTAATCCATATTTCTTATTTGTTTTGGTTCGCCCTGTTTACCGTAGTGGTAAGCAGTGTTAACTATTTTCAGGTGGAGTCATGAATGAGCATATGGGTGTCCTGGGATTTGCTTTACTTAGTTTAGGAATTTTGGTCTTGTATTTAATTTTGAGTACTCATGACATTGGAAACTGTAAGGAGGGTGTTCCCATCATAGGGGATCTTCTCCTTAGATGCCCATTGACCCTTTAGAAGCCTAGGACTTCACACTTGTTAGGGTGTATTAGGATTTGATTTCGTGACAGTTTGGGGGACCTTGTGTTGGGGTTTGGTTAGTCCGACTCACTGCGAAACAAACCCAAAAACAAGTCCGCACTCGCAATAAATAAAACCATAAACATAATTAAATTAATCATAAGATTAAGATAAGCTAATTACCTTTGACGCGTGCTTCGCTCCAAAATGAGCTCTTACTTGAAAGCTTCAAGTCCCGCTCACACGGAGACCTCCAACGAAGTCCACCCACACCAACAAAACCGACTAGGTCCAATGTCTTGGGGTTAGCAAGACCCGACCAATAAAACCCGAGTAATTATATTGAGTTCAAAGGTTTTCACTAATTGTGATGCCTTTTTCAACTCTTACTAAAGCATCATTCTGAATGCCCATACTTGGGTATTTATAGGAAATGATGGGAGTATCATTTACTCTCCCATCAATGTGGGATAGTATGATTTTTCCATTTTATTTTAAAGCAAAAATAAAATTAATAATCAAGTTAGTAATAAATCAACAAGTGGCAAGCTCATGTGAGTGGTTAGGTGAGGACCACTTGGAGAAGGGGGGGCCAAACTTGCTCCCCACTCCCTCTCCCATAACCGGCCACCTCACTCCACACACACTCAAGGACCAGAAGCCACATGGCACCCACCCTTGGGCACCAAGGCAGCCAAGGTGGGCTGCCATGTGCTGCTGTCCGTGGCAGCCACGCCCAGCAAGCCCAGCAGGCCCAGCACTCGCATGCGGGCTGCCAGGCGCTGCTGGCCAGCAATCCCAGCATGCTTGTGCGGGCTGCTGGTGGCCTTGTGCCTTGGCCAGCGCTGCTAGGCAGCAAGCAATGGCCTAGCTATGCTGCTGCTAGCTGTGACGAGCTGGCGCGCCTAGCGTGCTAGCTGCTGCAGCTTGTTGCGGCATGGCTTGCTAGCCATTGCGCGCACAAGGCTGCGCCTAGCATGCTAGCACGCACTAGGCAGCGCCTAGCCTTGCGATGCTAGCATGGGTACGCTAGCACGCACCAGCCAGCCTAGGCTCGGCTTGGTGCGCATGCTAGGCCATACGCCCTTAGCACTCGGTTTGCTTGGGCATTCCGATGCTAGTGGTATTTTGGTCTTTTGTTGATTTATTACTATTTCTCGTCTCGTCTTTCACTATTTTTCGACTCGACTTCCGACGCTCGGTTTTAACACTCTAAGCTCGAATTTCCGACGTCTAAATAAATATTACTCGGTCGACTCATTAATTCCTTCCGAATTAATTCGTCGGTTCGGTTTGTTGAATGCTTGGGTGTGACCCGAAGGGTTCAGTCAAGATTAAGCTGTAATATTAATTATTCATTAATAATACTGATCGGAAGCGGCCTCCACCCAGGCATTCCGATCACTTGACCTCACTGAATATATTAGTTTTCTAATAATTCTGAACCCACTAACGGAATAGTACACTTGTTTGAAGGACACCATTCCTTTCAATCTCCCATTTGTCCTTCCGGACAAGTGCGCATTTTGTGTACATCCTTTTTCCTATGTCGCTTAATGTCTCTTCATGAACTATAAGGTAAGATTTATTTTGTCATCCTTATTACGTCCAGAAGTGTTTCCCGATTCCGAGTCCAGCTGTCAATAAACAGATGATTTCTAAAATCCATCCGAGCACGGCCATGCATTTTACAGTCTTGCTCTACGAGAGGCCTTGTATACAACAAAGAAATCTTCCCTATTTTAGTAGGGGGACATTCCCAGTCTTGTAATGTAGCTCCTCTTATTAAGAGGACCTAGTCGCCCGAGTGTCGCCGTTATAATCCCCTATTACGGCAGACGTTTGACAACATCAAAAAGAACTAGTACTCAAAAAAGAGAACTCACAATACTCATGGTCGAGGAAATAGGTTCCAATAGCCATAATGAGAAGTATACTTATG